TCCATGAAATTTGACCCCCTAAAATAATGCCAAGATGACCCCTGGCTGAAATAAAAAATGTGGAATGGACACCTGGACATCGGTCTCTTGTATTACACAAAACTGAAAGGTTCTACCAGTAGCGAATCAATAGTCGAAAAATGACCCCACCCATGTTCCGGCCCCCAAATAGTGCCAAGTTGACCCCCATTTGAAATAAAAAATAGTGAATGCACCCCTAGGGATACTACCCCATCATCATACCAAACATAAAGTTTCCATCATTTAAGGCTTGGAAGAAAATGGTCGGACAAATTAGGGTTAATAATAATAATAATAATAATAATAATAATAACAAGTAATCCTGTGTTAGGATGCTAACACAAAAGTCGCCAAAACGGCCCCCAACCATTGTTCTACTGTTTCCATGGTAACGGCAGCCATTTTGAAATTTCAAAGTCGGATATCACATCTACACGTGACAGGTCACATTACTTACAAGTTTCATAAAAATTGGACCAATTTTCAAATTTAGGCATTCGTGTTTCCATGGTTACGGTGGCCATTTTAGAATTTTCAAAGTCAAATGCCACATCTACATAAGCCAGTCATCATTTGTGTAAAGTTTCATTAAGTTTAAAGCATTTTGAATTTTTTACATTTTTGCAGTTTCCATGGTAACGGCAGCCATTTTGAAAATTCCAAAGTCGGATGGCACATCTACACATGACAGGTCAAATTACTGTCAAGTTTCAGAAAGATTGGACCAAATCTAGATTTTCCGCATTTTTCTTGTTTCCATGGCAACGGCGGCCATTTTGGAAATTCCAAAGTCAAATTCTAAATCTACATACACTCGTTAACATCTCTGTAAAATTTCATAAAATTTGAAGCATTTTAAAAAAAAATCACATTTTTGCAGTTTCCATGGTAACGGCGGCCATTTTAAAAATTCCAAAGTCGAATTACAGCTACATATGGTGCTACCTGTAATAATATATCATTATATAGCATAAAAAGTACATAGGAATAATTCAACACTAACACATGACTAATCACATGACTATTGTTCTAGAATGTTCCATGAAAATTGACCCCCTAAAATAATGCCAAGATGACCCAGGGCTGAAATAAAAAATGTGGAATGGACACCTGGACATCGGTCTCTTGTATAACACAAAACTTAAAGGTTCTACCAGTAGCGAATCAATAGTCGAAAAATGACCCCACCCATGTTCCGGCCCCCAAATAGTGCCAAGTTGACCCCCATTTGAAATAAAAAATAGTGAATGCACCCCTAGGGATACTACCCCATCATCATACCAAATATAAAGTTTCCATCATTTACGGCTTGGAAGAAAATGGTCGGACAAATTAGGGTTAAGAATAATAATAATAATAATAATAATAATAAGAAACGGGACAAAAACATAAAGTCCTCAAAACTCCGTTTTGGCGACTTAATAATAATAAGAAACGGGACAAAAACATAAAGTCCCCAAAACTCCGCTTTGGCGACTTAACTAGATTTGCCATTGCAGGCAATAGCGGATGACACCCTTCCCCCATTGCCGGAGAGCGGCAGCCATTTAGAAAATTCCAAAGTCAAAGAGTGCATTTACACATGCAAACTATCATTTTTGTTAAGTTTTATTTAGTTTGGAGCATTTTGAAATTTTGGACATTTTTGCTGTTTCCATGGTTACGGCAGCCATTTTGAAAATTCCAACTTCAAAATGCAACTCTGCCCATGCCAGTTACTATTTCTGTAAAGTTTCATCCAGTTTGCAGCATTTTAATTTTTTTGGAAATTTTGGACATTTTTGCTGCATCCATGGTTACAGTGGATAATTCCAAAATTCTAAAAGCAGACATCTCATTGCCACATGTCATGTTATATATCAGTACAGTTTCATTGACTTTGGTGAAATACTCTTTAAGAAAATGCTGATTTCATGCATTTTCCCATAGGGTCAATGTAAAACTTGCCCCCAGTTTCCATGACAACGGCGGCCATTTTGGACTATCCAAATATTGTCTTGACATCTTGGCATACTGGGTAACATTTTGATAAAGTTTCATCCAGTTGGGTCTTATAACGAAAGAGTTAGAATTTTTGATATTTCAGCTGTTTCCATGGTAACGGCAGCCATTTTGAAAATTCCGAAGTCAAACTGCAAATCAGCACATGCCAGTTACCATTCCTGTGGTGTTTCTTCCAGTTTGGAACACTTTGATTATTTTCGCATTTTTGCTGTTTCCATGGAAACGGCGGCCATTTTTCACCATTCCATAGCAAGGTGCACAACTTTACTTGGGGGTCCTCATTATAGTAGAGTTCCATCAACATTGGTCCATTGGATTCCAAGAACTCGCGCGGACAAAATGTGTGGAAGAAAAATAAGAAAAAAAAGAAACGTAGAATAATAGTATGTCACCCCAACTCCGTTGAGGGTGCCATAATAATAATAATAATAAGAAACGGGACAAAAACATAAAGTCCCCAAAACTCCGTTTTGGCGACTTCACTAGATTTGCCATTGCAAGCAATAGCGGATGGCACCCTTCCCTTGTTGCCAGGTGATTGGCAGCCATTTAGAAAATTCCAAAGTCAAAGAGTGCATCTACACATGCAAATTATCCTTTTTGTAAAGTTTCATTAAGTTTGGAGCATTTTGAAATTTTGGACATTTTTGCTGTTTCCATGGTTACGGCGGCCATTTTAAAAATTCCAACTTCAAAATGCAACTCTGCCTATGCCATTTACCATTTCTGTAAAGGTTCATCCAGTTTGCAGCATTTTATTTTTTTTTGAAATTCTGGACATTTATGCTGCAGCCATGGTTACAGTGGATAATTCCAAAATTCTAAAAGCAGACATCTCATTGCCACATGTCATGTTATATATCAATACAGTTTCATTGACTTTGGTGAAATACTCTTTAAGAAAATGCTGATTTCATGCATTTTCCCATAGGGTCAATGTAAAACTTGCCCCCAGTTTCCATGACAACGGCGGCCATTTTGGACTATCCAAATATTGTCTTGACATCTTGGCATACTGGGTAACATTTTGATAAAGTTTCATTCAGTTGGGTCTTATAACGAAAGAGTTAGAATTTTTGATATTTCAGCTGTTTCCATGGTAACGGCAGCCATTTTGAAAATTCCGAAGTCAAACTGCAAATCAGCACATGCCAGTTACCATTCCTGTGGTGTTTCTTCCAGTTTGGAACACTTTGATTATTTTCGCATTTTTGCTGTTTCCATGGAAACGGCGGCCATTTTTCACCATTCCATAGCAAGGTGCACAACTTTACTTGGGGGTCCTCATTATAATAGAGTTCCATCAACATTGGTCCATTGGATTCCAAGAACTCGCGCGGACAAAATGTGTGGAAGAAAAATAAGAAAAAAAAGAAACGTAGAATAATAGTATGTCACCCCAACTCCGTTGAGGGTGCCATAATAATAATAATAATAAGAAACGGGACAAAAACATAAAGTCCCCAAAACTCCGTTTTGGCGACTTCACTAGATTTGCCATTGCAAGCAATAGCGGATGGCACCCTTCCCTTGTTGCCAGGTGATTGGCAGCCATTTAGAAAATTCCAAAGTCAAAGAGTGCATCTACACATGCAAATTATCCTTTTTGTAAAGTTTCATTAAGTTTGGAGCATTTTGAAATTTTGGACATTTTTGCTGTTTCCATGGTTACGGCGGCCATTTTAAAAATTCCAACTTCAAAATGCAACTCTGCCTATGCCATTTACCATTTCTGTAAAGGTTCATCCAGTTTGCAGCATTTTATTTTTTTTTGAAATTCTGGACATTTATGCTGCAGCCATGGTTACAGTGGATAATTCCAAAATTCTAAAAGCAGACATCTCATTGCCACATGTCATGTTATATATCAATACAGTTTCATTGACTTTGGTGAAATACTCTTTAAGAAAATGCTGATTTTATGCATTTTCCCATAGGGTCAATGTTAAACTTGCCCCCAGTTTCCATGACAACGGCGGCCATTTTGGAGTATCCAAATATTGTCTTGGCATCTTGGCATACTGGGTAACATTTTCATTAAGTTTCATCCAGTTGCGTCTTATAACGGAAGAGTTAGAATTTTTGATATTTTAGCTGTTTCCATGGTAACGGCAGCCATATTGAAAACTCCGAAGTCAAACTGCAGATCAGCACATGCCAGTTACCATTCCTGTGGAGTTTCTTCCAGTTTGGAACACTTTGATTTTTTTGGCATTTTTGCTGTTTCCATGGAAACGGCGGTCATTTTTTACCTTTCCATAGCAAGATGCACAACTTTACATGGGGGTCCTCATTATAGTAGAGTTCCATCAACATTGGTCCATTGAATTCCAAGAACTCGCGCGGACAAAATTTGTGCAAGAAAAATAATAAGAAAAAAAAGAAACGTAGAATAACAGTATGTCACCCCAACTCCGTTGAGGGTGTCATAATTCTTCAAATTCACTCCATATGTATTTTCATATGATATTCAAGTTTGATATTAAATGAAAGTTGATACATTACTCTTTCGTTTTATAACAAATATTTGCTGACATCTTCATTCGGGAATTAATTATAAGCGTTCCCGTGTTTGATAATGAAAAAGAAAAAAAAATCGGAAAATTACGCTTTACTGAGATTTTACAAAAAACCTGCACCGTCGGAAAACTCTACGACAGGGCTAAAAGGATAGTATAATGTTTACTCTATCATCGTGAGGATTTTCAGCCGTGAGGTATGTCGGTCCATTAAACTCTTATATTAAGCGACTTTTTCTTAATTTGTCACTCAACTAAATTAAAAGACTCTCTCTGTCTATTGGTCATGTTGTACAATTGTACTTTCAGTTATACCAGTACATGTGACTCCAAATGATCAGATTTCCTTATCTCTAGCTTTGGTTTCAGTCATGCAAAAGTATAATGTGACGCCCTGATACCTTCTAGATCAACTTTATGTTTAAATTGAAACTGTACAAAATTGATTAAACTTACCACATAAAATGTCCTGTCTTACTTTGAAATCTACACTCTATTTAATGTAATTCGGTGCCGAGGACTTTTAAAAGACAACGAATACGCAAAAACGTGTTACGTTGCCAAGGAATTAAAAAACAAACACACAACTAGCGTAACCTTTACCTCAGAAAAACCTACTTTAATAATACCAAAATGGAATAATTGACTTTTGAAAAACTGATATATAAGTTCTGCCGTTGGCCTCAATTAAACCAAATATATTCACCGCATCAAAAGACAGTCATTGTATACTATCGTGTGTTTACCCGATTTAAGAAAAAAGATCTCATCAAGTTTCTATACAAATATATATATATATGTATATATCAGTCAACACCACAACCTTTTAACCTGATTGCTATCTTTCTGAATAAATTAAAATTTAATAATACTGGAAAATCTGAACGAGGTTTTAGATTTTCCAGAAGATGATATGAACATTTATATTAATTGTTTGTCTTTCTATGCGCAGACGACACGGTCTCATGTCTGAACCGACAGAAGATGTACAAAACATTATGAACAAATTTTGTGAGTACTGTGTAATATATGGAGGCTGATAGTAAATGTGGTTGATATACACGTAGTACTTCCATGATTAAAATCGTGGTATTTTTAAGGGTAAGACTAAGACTTTGTGTAGATTTTCTAAAGTTTTCTATAAATGGGACAGACTTACAGATAGGTCATGACTTTAATTATCTTGGTATGAAATTTGGTAAAATAACCAGAAAGCAAATATAAAAGGTGAAAACAAACAATGTTTGGGATTTGTAAAAGGATATCGTATGCATAATTTATTAAGGAAATGTTGGGGAATTATCAACTTTTTCTATGGATCCGATGTATGGGGGTTTAGCAAGAAAATAAAGGTTTAGTAAGTGTTTCGAATGTATAAATTGTTTTGCTAAAGTTGAAATCAATACCAAACCATATTGTTGGTGAACTTGGAATTTTTCCTGTTCAAAAAGACATCAAACTAACTTTTTTGAAGATTGATTGCATATTGGCCACGACTTTTACCTGGAAAGGATTTAAAAAAGAAATCACGGTATAGCTTATCTATAATTTATACAAGTTGTAGATCGGCAATGTGAATATTAATCAGAAAGTGTTTGATGCTGTCTTTTCCTATATTTTGACAGTTTTGCATTTCTTCAGTAAACATGCACATATACGATTAATTTAGACAGGAGTGACACTTACTTGTGGTAAATTCATAAAAATCTTGTAGACGGATCATTCAACCTATGCCAACATTTTGAAATTTAGGTATAAAATTGTATGAAAAAATGTTGGCAAAGGTTGAATAAAATATAACAAATTAGGTGTTATAAAAACAAAAATAATCAGTGGCCAATCAATTTACAACCAGTTTAAACTTAGAGTTTAAGTGTACTCAAAACTATTTTGTTACTGTGAAAATGATTGCAACTCTATGTGCTGCTGATCTATTTTGTATTAGAAATGCACGAAATAAAACAAAATATGCATGTATACCAGTATCACGTGAATATCATACAATATAAAAATTATGATGAAAATATTTAAGTGATATTTTTTGTAGAATTACGTCAAATGCATGGTAATATTATACAATTATAGCCTTTGTATGAGGTCGATACAAGGATATATTGACCTGAAAGAAGTATCTTGACTGAGGACGAAGTCCGAAGTCGATATACTTCTTTGGGTCGATATATCCTGTATTGACCTCATACATAGGCTATAATTGTTATATTATTAATTTCCGACCATATTTGTATCAAAATCGTCATTTGATTTTGTTAGAATTTTATAGATATCATATTGTCTCCTAGGCAATAACAACATATTATCAAATATTTTCATGTTTGTTTTTATACATCTTATGCATTTGAAGATTTTTTTTCTTCAAATAATCGATCATAGATATTTTTTATAAAACTTTTAACAACATCATGAAATTTCAATACATGACGTCACAAAGTATATCGGTTTTTAGATATTCTAAAAATAACCGTGCAATATGCTTTTTGCTATGCAATATGCTTTTTGTTATCCGCCGTTTTCTATCAACCTTCGAAAATATAGTTTGACATGTGACTATCCCTGAACGAATCAAATTAGTTAAAATATACGAATTAATAATATTAATCAATATTCAGTAGCACTATTTAAAATTTCTTTCACATGGAAAAGTGTATTTAATTCACAGTTCAGTATTTATGAAATAAATCTGTTTTGTAGGTATTTGTATAAATTTGTGTTATTTCTTATTACAATAACTATATCAAGCATTTCCATGTATTCTAAATAAATATACAAAAACACATATTTGTAAATACTGACATGTGAAATTTTCATTTTTACTTGTAACAAGAAAATAAGTTCGGCGACACCATTTTGTCTTTTTACATTCTTAAAGCATATGGTAAATCCTATCTTCTCATATTTTATTTCATAATTATATCTCATAGATTTCTTTTTATTCACATGAAAGTGTTTTTTTTTTTAATAACCCATGCAAAATTGATAAATATTGAACGACTTGTAGCTTAAAAAATAGCGCGGTGGCCCATACTTTTTATTATATCTTTTAAAAGGACATCGCTGAATCTACATTTTGGCAAAGTATAAGAATATTCTATCTGAGGAAATACATAGTGATGATCCAACCTTAATAGTCTGATAAACGTGTCATGATATATTATTTGTTACGAATATCATATATTCTAGAAAGTACATATCTGGCCTTTACAAATCTGAAAGTATCAAAAGATGTCTGACATATTACCGCTCATACCTATTGTATACATTAATACATTCATTGTTGAAGGCCGCACGGTTGCCTATATTGCTTACATCCACTTCATTTGATATTTAGTGGATAGTTGTCTCAATGTCAATCATACCACATCTCCTTATTGTTATAATACCAATACAATACCAAATTGTTCATTATAGTGACATGTGTTTTATGATATTAAACAATATATCATTATGCGGTTGTAATTACATGTATCAACACCCGGCCCTTTGGACCTATAAGTGATTTTAAACATTTATACATATAAAAAGAATAATAATTTAAAGGCGGACAAAATTAGAATTTAGGTTTGATTGTTCCTATACAAAAAGTTGTTTCTCTTATTAAATGCATTGTTAAAAAATTTAGCAGTTTTTCTAGGATATTTTCAGATAAGCACTTTAAATTGTTCATCTTTGGAGATGTCTTCAAAAGAGTGTTCTATATTCAGTATAAGTTACAGTCAATTAGAAAGTGGCGTTCATTTTCAACACAGTTTGAGTCACACATTTTGCAAATGCGATAAGCTTCTGCTTCTCTGGAACAAACCGTCCTGTTTCAATCCTTAAAGGAAGTATTCTGCATCTAGATTCTGCCAGTATAGAACGTTCAGCACGAGTGAGGTTCAGACCAACATATGTTTCACATTTATATTCTGATTTGAATGTTTTATATGTCCGCAATTTTGGAAAGTTTGTAACAGAGTTTTCCCATTTAGTGGAACACAACATGTAAAGTCTGTCTTTTACAAGGGAAATATCACAAATCTGTTTTTGGTGGAAATAATCTTCCATGTCAATGTGAGTCAAAATAAGTTTCACATCTGATGACCAATTGTTCAAACACCGTTCAAGGTCCAAGTTGAAAACCAGTTTACATAAGCGTGAATCGTCTATTCGTATGAGCTTGTTCCATAGTCTAATTATATTGTACCAGTGTCTTTCTTTACATGGCATCCATCCAACAATCCCTTCGGGCGAATTTATGAACACCCAAGAAATAACGAATGGCTTTGTTTTGTACCAAGTTAACACATGCATAGTCTTTATATCCCCAGACTGAGGAGTTATAGTCTAAATCTGCACTATACAAGATGTAAACAGTTTTTCAAATGTCTTTATTCCAAAGTTCTTAAGATTATGAATTTTTGAAATCATATCATATTAATATAATTATGCTGCTATTCATGTCTGCTTAGCAAATCATGATAATTCTCTTTTTATTGAAATTGGCAATAGAACACTTTTCTTTGACCAAAATAATGAGTGTACATTTCTTTTTCAAATAATATTTAGTATCAGATTCAACTGGTAATAATGTTTCTAACACGTAATAATGATACTGAATGAAACAACTCAACAAAAAAAATTTCAATTTAGATATAGAACACAAATCAGATTTTATACACTTGTAACTCATCATCATGTCATACATGACCAAATCTTGTATTATTGAAAAAGTCACAAATAAAAAGATTTTATTTTTTTGTATTTTATGTTATGTTATTTTGTAATTTTTTTTTTACATATAGTTTTTTTACCATACAGAAGTGATCTTTTGTATAATTTTGTCCATCTTTTTCAAATATCATATTTGCTACAACATAATATTGCAAATATTTAACTGTTGTTTCTAATTCTAAAGGAGTAATTTCTAAAGCTTTAAAATACTGACTGTATTTTACCTGTAATTAATTATTAATTGTAATAACAGCACCTATTGTATTTTGTTTGTAGGCATAGGTTAAATATATATTTATCAAATGTTGGTATAGGTTAAAGACACCTTGTAGACATTTGAGTTTTAAAACTTTTTAGATACATATGTAAGAAGAATATGTTGTGTACAAGTAATCATTTTGTACAAATCAAAAGTATGTTGTGTACAAGTTATGATTTTGTAATGTACAAATTGTAATTCGTCCAAAAATTTGACTAAACTTCACTTATAACTGGTACAATGATTTATAATATGGATTTAGTTAAAAAAGCATTGATACACATTATAGTATTTCTATTTAATGACCACAAAGTAAACCGTATTTACAAAGTACAAAAAAAAATAGTTCTGAATCATTTGTTTGAGCATGTGAGAGAATTATGGGATCGGGAATTGCACAACATATTTTGCTTTTTACATTTAAACAATGAATTATTTGAATCTGGAATAATTTTGAATTCTGGAAAATTGATAAGAAATGTATGATGAAAACTAAACATTAGCGCATGGCTTTTGCGCCAATTGGCATTTCATTTGGGCCAAAATAATCTTTCATTTGCGCCACAAACCATATTTCATTTGCCCCAAAATAAAACATTTCATTTGCGCCTAAATAAAACATTTCATTTGCGCCAATAATTCAGGTAAATAATATAAAAAATAAATTTATTCAAAGGAGATTTTCATAATAACTTTAAAAAACAGTTTTTGATTGCATAATAAAACATAGTTCTCCGTAATCAGTCATCGTAACACTACACTGATACGTTCTTAATAAGAGATTTTTCATAATAATGTTGAAATACAGTTCTGTTATAAATTAACGAGATCATAAAACCTAAAAGGAAGCACTATACACTGGAGTGTAACCAAAAGTTTGTTCTGACACAAGACTTGTAGGCAACGGCTCGGATGTACTCGCGTACACTGGATAACCTATATGTGTGGTCATAAAAAAATGCAAACATATTTTCTCTATATTAAAATAAGGAGATGTGGTATTATTGCCGACGAGACAACTATCTACCAAAGTTCAAATGAAGTGAATGAAAGCAATTATAGGCAACCGTACGGCCTTCAAAAATGAGAAAACCCAATATCGTATAGTCGGCTA